GACATACTTTGTGATTATATATGGTGAAGTATACAAGATTCATGCCAAACCAGTTATGTGATGGCACACGTCTGTAATTCCAATTACTTAGGAGAATGAGGTAGGAGGATCTTAGTCCAAAGGCAAAAGGCAGGCCAAGGCAAAAGCACAAGACCCTATCTGGAAAGCAAACTTAACAGCAAAAGAACTACAGGGGTGTTGCTCCAGTGGTAGAGCCCTTATCAGAAAGTCCAAGGCCCTGAGTTCAAAACTTCAGTATCACCAAAAGAAAAGAGAGGTATTAAGAGAATCTCCAATCAGTTTAAATTCATTTACCTTGAAAAGGACTGTGACAATTACCCAGTGTAATTGAAGGACAAGATCTGTTTTGGCTCTGAATCCTCTGATACGTGACCCACAGACATCAAAACAGATTAGTAAATGTTGAAAATTGATTTGGCAATGTCTGCTAAAAACTGAGCATATTGAATACTCAGCAATTCCATTCCTAGGAATATAACCTAAATAAAAGAATATACATTAGCCAGGCGCCGGTGGCTCATGCCTGTAATCCTAGCTATTCAGGAGGCTGAGATCTGAGGATCTTGGTTCAAAGCCAGCCTGGGCAGGAAAGCCTGTGAGACTCTTATCTCCAATAAAACCACTTGAAAACCGTAAGTGGCACTGTGGCTCAAGCAGTAGAGCGCTCACCTTGAGCTGAAGAGTGCAAGGACAGTGCCCAAGCCAGAGTTCAAGCCCCATGACCGACAAAAAAATAAATAAATAAATATATATATATATATATATATATATATGTTAGCCAAAACCTGTACAAAACTGTTCATAAGAATTCCATTCATAATAGCCCCAAAGTGAGAAAAATACCTGTAATTAACAACACTAGAATGGATTGTCCTAGACAGAATATGGTACAGTGATGAGAATAAACAATTGAATGTCAGTGATCATAGATAGAATACTTACTATACAAGGATGAGAACAAACAGCTGTATGTCAATGACATAAGTAAAGCTCACCAACATTACAAGAGAAAGAAGACAGACACTAAAGAGCATACACAGTACAATTCCAAGTATATAAAGTATAGAATGAGCTGGGCCCCAGTGGCTCACACCTGTAATCCTAGCTACTCAGGTACCTGAGATCAAGGATCACAGATCAAAGCCAACCCAGGCAGGAAAGTCCAAGAAACTCTTACCTCTAACTAATCATCAGAAAACTAGAAGTGCCACTGTGGCTCAAAGTGGTAAAGCACTAGCCTTGAGCAAAAAATGCTCAGGGACGGTAACCAGATCCTGAGTTTAAACCTCATGACTGACAAAATAAAATAAAATAAATACAGAATGGTTAACAGGGATTTATGCTGTTAGAAATGGAAGAGTAGGGGCTGGGAAGGTGGCTCAGTGGTAGAGTGCTTGCCTTGCATGCATGAGGCCCTGGGTTCAATTCCTCAGTACCACATAAGCAGAAAAAGTCAGGAGTGGTAGAGAGCTAGCCTTGAGCTGAAAAGCTGAGGGACAGAGCCCAGGCCCAGACTTCAGACCCCACGACCAGCAAACAAAACAAGAAATTGGAATAGTAGTTACCTTTCAGGCAGGAGCTTGAGGAGGTTTTAGGGATGGAGAGAGGTTGCCAATAATGGTGACAGTTGTACCAGTGTATCTGCTTTGTAAAAATTCTTGAGATGAATGGCTCAAAATCTCTACTTTGTGTGTGTATGTGTGTGTGTGTGTGTGTGTGTGTTCATGTGTGTGTGCGTGTGCATATGCCAGTCCTGAGGCTTGAACTCAGGGCCCAGCTCTGTCTGTAAGCTTTTTTGCTCGAGGCTAGCACTCTACCACTTGGGCTATTGCTTTACTTCCACATTTTTGGTGGCCAATTGGAGATAAAAGTCTCTCAGTCTTTCCTGCTTGGGCTGGCTTTGAATCACAATCCTCCTCCTGAGTAACTAGGATTATAGGTGCAAGCCATCGGTGGCCAGCTTTATTTGTACATTTTTAACAATATGTATGTTAGAATGCAAATGAGAAGTTTGCCTGAAAGTCCTTGGTTGCTCACTGTGATGTCTCAGGGCTCATTTATCCCATCTTGTATGGTTTCAGAGTCAGGAATTCACTGCCCCCTGAGGAGGAAAGATGTGGCCTCTGGTACAGGAGCTGGAACCAGATTTCCTACTCAAAGACAAAAACAAAAAGGCTGTCTTGTAGTTAAAACAGGTTATAGAATAATTATGCCCCTGACTGGGCAATGGAACACAGCAACAGGACTAGGGATTGGCCTGAAGTTTGTGAAAAGAAAAATCAGGCTTCCAAAACTGCCAAAGGCAGAAATAACACCTGAATACATATGAGATTTGCTGAGACATTAGAAAAAACAAACAAATAAATAGAAAATTAGTAAAAACTATTCAGAAGCGTAGAAACGCGCGCACACTGCGCGTGCATGTGTGTGTGTGTGTGTGTGGGTGGGTGTGGGTGTGGGTGTGTACATAATGTCAAAGAAAATGACCTGCAAAATTTACATGCATGGCCGGGCGCTGGTGGCTCACGCCTGTAATCCTAGCTACTCAGGAGGCTGAGATCTGAGGATCGCGGTTCAAAGCCAGCCCGGGCAGGAGAGACCGTGAGACTCCTATCTCCAATAAACCACCAGAAAACCAGAAGTGGCGCTGTAGCTCAAGTGGTAGAGCACTCGCCTTGAGCTGAAGAGCTGAGGGACAGCGCCCAGGCCCAGAGTTCAAGCCCCATGACCAACCAAAAAAAAAAAAAAAAAATTTACATGCATGTGTATCATATGGACTGTATGGTATATTCTTCCTTGTTTTTGTTTTTGTTTTTGCCAGTGTTGTGTTTTAACTTAGGGCTTCTTTCTTGCTCAGCTGGCTGCTCATGGCTGGCATTCTGTCCCCCTCACCACCTCCAGCCTGGCTTTTGCCTTGTTATTTTAGAGATGGAGTCTTGGGGACTTTTCTGCCCAGGCTGGCCTGGAACCTTGATTCTGTGATCTCAGCCTCCTGAGAAGCGAGGATTATAGGCATGTCAGTGACACTTGACTTACTTCCTTTTTTAAATATTTTTTAATTTTTTATTGTAAAGATACTATACAGAGGGTTACAGTTACATGAGTAAGGTAATGAGTACACTTCCTATTGAGCATTGTTACCCCCTCCATTGTTTCTTTTTTTTTTTTACAAAATAAAAACACTACACAATATAGTTTTGTAAGTAGGCAGTAAAAAATATCCAGGGCCTGGGGCTAGGAAGGTGGCTCAGTGGTAGAATGCTTGCCTCCCATGCATGAGGCCCTGAGTTCCACTCTTCAGTACCACATGAACAGAAAAAGCCGGAAGTTGTTCTGTGGCTCAAGTGGTAGAGTGCTAGCCTTGAGCTGAAGAGTTGATGGACAGCTCCCAAGCTGAGTTCAAGCTCCACTACTGCCTCCCCCATTATATATATTTATTATATATATATATATATGTGTGTGTGTGTGTGTGTGTGTGTGTGTGTATATATATATATATATATATATATATATATATATATATATATACAGGGCCAAACATATACTCCAGTTGTAGAGGACATTGGTTAAAGCCCTGGGTTCAATCCAGCAATGCAAATATATTCAAGTAAATTTATGTGCATAGGTATGCAAATATGGTAAACATTCACATGTTTACACATAAACACAGGAGGAAGAATATGTACCAACTTCTACAGAGGGAAAAAGGAGAATAAGTTTGCTATTGAGTGAAGTATATAGGAATTCTTTTTTTTTTTTTTTTTTGGTAATGGGGGCTTGAACTCTGGGCCTGGGTGCTGTCCTGAGCTCTTCAGATCTTCAAGCCAAGCACTCTACCATTTGAGCCATAACACCACTTCCAGTTCTAGTGGTTAATTGGAGATAAGAGTCTCACAGACTTCCTGCTCTGGCTGGCTTTGAACCTCGATCCTCATATCTCAGCCTCCTGAGTAGCTAGAATTATAGGTGTAAACCATTGGTGCCTGCTGAATTTTTACCTTTTTTGGGGGGGCGGGGGGGTGTCTGGTCGTGGGGCCTGAATTCTGGGCCTGGGCGCTGTCCCTCAGCTCTTCAGCTCAAGGCTAGCGCTCTACCACTTGAGCCACAGAGCCACTTCCGGCTTTTTTCTTTTTGCTTATGTGGTGCTGAGGAATCGAACCCAGGGCCTCAGGCATGCAAGGCAAGCACTACCACTGAGCCACCTTCCCAGCCCCTGAATTTTTACTTTTATCTCTTAAGTTTTGTGGGGTTTTTTTGGTTTGTTTGTTTTGTTTTGTTGCCAGTTCTGGGGCTTGCACTTTGGTCCTGGGTGCTGTCCCTGGGCTCCTTTTGGCTCAAGGCTAGCATTTTACGACTTGATCCACAGTGCTACTTGTGGCTTTTTCTGTGATTAATTGGAGATGAGAGTCTCCCAGTTTCCTGCCTAGGCTGGCTTCAATTTCAGCCTCATGAGTAACTAGGACTATAGATGTGAACCACTGGTGCCCAGCTATCCTTGTTTTCTTCAAAAGAAATTTTTAAAAAGATCTAAAGCAAATACAAAAAATGTTATTAACTCTTGTTAATTTGATCAGTAAGGCATGAGACTTATATTATTAGAGGCTGCTGAAGAGGTTCCTAATTGTTCTTCAGAAAGTCATAGGGAGCTTCTCTCTCTCTTTTCTCTCTCTCAGCCCCAGTTGCTACTGGAAAATACTGCGCAATCATGAAAACAATTAGCCTTAGAAGGAATTCAACCCTGAAGTCAGAATAGGATGGAAAAACCCAAATCACCAAAATATCACTGGATCCACCAAGCCCAAAGCTTACCTTACTGCATTTAAGGCAATTTGCATTGGGGTTTCTATTACTTGTAGCTAAGCTTACAGTAGCCAATGAATTTGTGTTGTTTTAAGTCATGTTTGTAGTATTTTGGTAGAAACTAATCAAAGCTAAAATCAAGGACATTTCCTAGAAGTCAGGGGAAAAAAAGATGAAGAATCCGTTTTTGGCTTTTGGATAAGATCAAGTATAGTATCTATTCTGACCAGTTGAATATCTAGTTTAATATCTGATACACCTTCTATCCAAAGCAATTTACTAAATGGGCTTTGGGAGCAAGGAGATAAAATAGAAACTTGCTCCATCTACTCACAAATTGACCTAGTATTGCAGAACCTCTAGGAATGGTGCCTCTTCTTCCACAGGAATTAAAAAAGAAACATGGGGTTGGAGGCATGGCTCAGTTGGTAGATTTCCAGCCAATGAGCAGAAGTGTCAGGTATTGAGTTTGAGTTCAGTTCCTGGACAAGGAAGAAAGGAAGGAAGGAAGGAAGGGAAGGAGGGAGGGAGGGAGGGAGGGAGAAAGGGAAGACAAAAGGACATAAAGTAGAGGAGAAATATAGTATTGCTGTATTAATTCAGGAGACCAATATCCAGCCAACACAAGTCACAAACAAAAAGAGGCATATTGAAAAGGGATGAAAAAATGATCAAAGAAATAATACAAAAAAGGATCAAAAGACACATATTCCCTTAGCACTGAAAGCGTCTACCAGATACCTAGAAGGAAAAAAGGATTTTCACTAATGCATAGCCACAGAAGCTTCCAGAAAGAAAAAAAATAGTCATACTAAGAACCAGGAAGCAAAATGGCCTCATACTTTCCCATAGCAGCAGCACAAAGAAAACAAGAGAAAATATGTTCAGAGTTCTGGAATTCTTCATCCAACCAAAGCTTTAATCACAGGACTCTACAAAAGTGCATTTTTAGATGTTTTCACTTCAAGTGCATCATTTACATGTACCATTTCTCAAGGCACTATTAGAGAATATCCTTTTTTTTTGTTATTGTTCATGAAGCTTGAACTTGGCTTGGGTACTGTCCTGGAGCTCTTCAGCTCAAGGCTAGCATTCTACCACTTGAGTCGGTGCCTGGCTAAGAGAACATCCTTTACTAAAACAAAGGGATGCAGTGCCAGGTGCCTGTGGCTCATGCCTGTAATCCTAGCTACTCAGGAGGCTGAGATCTGAGGATGGTGGTTCAAAGTCTGCCCGGGCAGGAAAGTCCCTGAGACTCCAAAAAACTACTCAGAAAACCAGAAGTGATACTGTGGCTCAAGTGGTGGAGCACTTGCCTTGATTTGAAGAGTTGAGGGACAGTGCCCAGGCCCAGAGTTCCAGCCTCACAACCTACAAACACACACATACACACACACACACACACACACACACACACACCCCAAAACAAAAAAAGGGACACTACAAAAGAAAAAACACAGGAACTGGGTGCTGGTGGCTCATGCCTGCAGTTCTTTGCCCAAGAGGATTACTGTTCAAAACTAGTCAAGGGAAGAAAGTCCATGAGACTCTTATTTCCATTTAACCACCAAAAAGTGAAAAATAGAGCTGTGGCTCAAGAGATAGAGTGCATCTTGAGACAAAAAGCTAAGGGAGAGAGCTCAGGTCTGGGGGCTGGCACTGGACACGAGAATAGAAAGAAGATCGGGGGGGGGGGGAGAATAGAAAGAAGATGGGGGGGGGGCCAGATTAGAGCTGAAAGATATGAGCTCACAGAACATTGTATTAAAGACTGCTATCTGCAGACCAAAGACAAGGCTTCAGATGAAACCAGGCTGAGGGCACCTTGATCTTGGATTTTCAGCTTCTGAACTTCAACAGAAGGGAAAAACCAGTCAAGGCAGAGTGTACCACTGGAGCTCCAGCGCCACTTCAGCTTTTTCTGTTCATGTGGTGCTGAGGAATCAAACCCAGGGCCTCATACAGGCAAGGTAAGCAATCTACCACTGAGCCACCTTCCCAGCCCCAAAATACTCAATTTCTATCTGAAATCAAAATCTGAGCCAAGTGTCTTATATTTTTCTTTGCTCCATTCGGTGACCCTACACGAGACACAGTTAGACTTCTCCACTCTTGTAGCCTGAGCAGAGTCCAACAGGACAAGTTTCATATAAAGACCTAGTTTTCTAAATATTTCAAGAGGAAATGAAGCCAGGTGCTGGTAGCTCATGCTTGTAATCCTAGCTACCAGGAAGCTGAGATCTGAGGATCACAGTTCAAAGCTAGCCCATATAAGAAAGTCTGTCAAGCCAGGCGCCAGTGGCCTGTAACCCTAGCTACTCAGGAGGCTGAGATCTGAGGATCGCAGTTTAAAGCCAGCCCAGGCAGGAAAGTCTGTGAGACTCATATCTCCAGTAAACTTGCCTTGAACTGAAGAGCTGAAGGACAGCACCCAAGCCCAGAGTTCAAGCCCCAGGACCAAAAAAAAAAAAAAAAAAAAGTCTGTCAGACATCATCTCCAATTAACCACCAGAAAACCAGAAATAGATCTGTGGCTCAAATGGTAGAGTCCTAGCCTTCAGCAAAACAGCTCAGTTACAGCTCTCAAGCCCTGAATTCAAGCCCCACAACCAAAAAAGAAAAGAAAAGGAAGGAAGGAAGGGAGGGAGGGAGGGAGGGAGGGAGGGAGGGAGGAAAAAAATGAGTTGCAGAACAGAAAATTTAAAGGCTAAATGAATTGAAATGCTTGTAGGAAACAGACATCAGAATCTGGCCAACAGCACCCCATCTCAGGCCCTTTTCAGGCTGGTATTCATTTTGCCTGAAAGCAGAGGAGTAGATGGCTCAGAAAGGGCCAGAGAGAACTGGAGGCTCAAGATGCCTCCCAAGTTCTCCCTCAGTGCTTGCCTTTTAAGCCAGGCCCCAGCTCTCCTGCCTATTTAAAGAAGTAGAAAGGGACAGAGCATAAAAGGCTCCCCAGAGGCAGGCCCTTGTGGGGGAGGGAGGCTGGCTGAACGCTGACTGGGTCCTTTGCTTTGTACCCATCCTGCTTATTCCCAAACAACAAAAGTGCTGCTCAGCCGCCTGGCTGGCCCCATTGTGTGCTCACCACAAAGTGCTGAGTCCAAGGGCTCCCCTGGCCCCATGACCTCACCTCTACTCCCTTTGCCTGGGCCCAAAGGCAAAGCCAAGGGGTCCATACCACCTGTACATTTCTATTGAGCCCTAGCCAACGTTGGCATGTGCCCTCATGTCAAGAAGCCCAAGAGTCAAACTGCCCACGTTACATTTGGCAGGTACTCATGATCACCTAATGTCAGTCATCTAAATCTAACAACTCATCCCACTGGACAGACAGCTGTTCCACAGCTTGGGCAATAACTGTGGTTCATAATCCATGTCCCCAGTGGACCTTCAGAAAACTAGACAAACAAGGACTAGGGCTTAGCTCAATAGTGGAGCATATGCCCAGTATACACTGAGCCTTAGGTTTAATTCCAGCACTGTAAAAATGAAAGAAAGATCCAGGTGCTGGTAGCTTACTCTTGTAACCCTAACTACTCAGGAGGCTGAGATATGAGGATTGTGGTTCAAAACCAGTCCAGGCAACAAAGTCCATGAGACTCTTATCTCCAGTAAACTGCCAGAAACCCAGAAGTTGCACTGTGGCTCAAGAGCACTAGCCTTGAGCTGAAGAGCTCAGGGACAGCACCCAGGCCCAGGATTCAAGCCCCATGACCGATGAAAGAAAGAAAAGAAAGAAAGAGAGAAAGAAAGAAAAAAATGAGAAAGAAAAGAAAACTAAACAAGGACTAAGGTTTAGCTCAGTAGTAGAGCATATGTCCAATATACACTGTGCCTTAGGTTCAATTCCAGCACTGTAAAAATGAAAGATCCAGGTGCTAGGGCTTACACTTATAATCCTAGTTACTCAGGAAGCTGAGATATGAGGATAGACGTTCAAAGCCAGACAGGAAAGGCCATGAAGCTCTTATCTCTAACTAACCACCAAAAAGCTTGTGGTAGAGGTATGGATGAAGTGATAAAGAGCCAGGAGAGCCAGCCTTGAGTGAAAAAAACACAGGGACAGCATTCAGGACCTGAGTTCAAGCACCATTACCAACACACACACATACACACACACACACACACACACAGAGAGAGAGAGAGAGAGGAAGGAAGGCTAGACTAATGAAATATGCAGCTACTATTAATGAAAAATATTAGAAAGAAAAAATAAATGAGGGCTGGGAAGGTGGCTCAGTGGTAGAGTGCTTGCCTTGCATGCATGAGGCCCTGGATTCAATTCCTCAGCACTACAAAAAGCTGGAAGTGGCACTGTGGCTCAAGTGGAGTGCTGGCCTTGAGCTGAAAAGCTGAGGGATAGCGCCTAAGCCCAGAGTTCAGGCCCATGACCAACAAAAAAGAATGTGATCTTTTCTGAGTTCAAAGACAAGTTTTTCTAAACTCATTGCTGCTTGCTCCTACTTGTTTCTCTGAGAATCTGGCACAAGATAGTATCTGATTTGACACAATCAATAAAGCAGTTCATTTCCTGAGCTCTCCTCTTTATCTTCTTTCTTCTGACAGCAATGGGTGAGGTAGGAATTATCACCCTACTTCATGTGTGAGAGTCAGATAAACAAACACACTAAAGTGGCTACTGGATTCCCTGGCATGGTTTTCTGCCTCTCAGAACCTAAGATTACTCATCTGTAAAATGGGTATTGCAATGATCTACCTTGTAGGGTGGTTGTGAGGATTGAAAAGACACTATTTGGCTCAGTCATTGCTCTGTGAGGGGTAGGTGTGATGAAAGGTGAACAGAAGAGATCTAAACCCAGTTTGGACAAAGAGATAACGTGATTCTCTTCCTACCCACTCCTTCAGCAAGCCTCGATCTAACTTTCATTGAAGGAGATGGGGTCTGGAGCTCTGAGGTCAATGATCAGTGTGGGCAGGTGAAGCAGCAGTTCCAATGTCAGAGAAGAAACCTCTAGAAGTTGGTTAAAGCCATATTGAGGTGTGTGTGTGTGTGTGTGTGTGTGTGTGTGTGTGTGTGTGTGTGTGTACGAGCACACATCCGTGCGCACACCTGTGTCAATATTGGGCTTGAACTCCAGATCTGGATTTTTTTTTTTCATCGTGGTGCTTGAACTCAGGGGCTTGAACTGTCCCTGAGCTTTTTCACTCAAGGCTGGCATTCTACCACTTAGAGCCACAGAGCCACTTCCAGTTTTCTGGTGGTTAATTGAAGATAAGAGTCTCATGGAATTTCCTGCCAGGGCTAGCTTTGAACTGTGATTCTCAGATCTCAGCCTCCTGAGTAGCTAGGATTACAGGTGTGAGTCATCAGTGTCATCAGTGCCAGAATGTCCCTGAGTTGTTTTTACTTTTTTT